AGTATAGTATAGTATAGTATAGTACAGTACAGTATAGTAACCAACAACCTGCATTATGCAGATGACACAACCTTGCTTGCTGAAACTGAGGAGGACATGAGACATTTGCTGCAGAAGGTCAAGGACAGCAGCCCTCAATATAGACTGAAGTTCAACATCAAGAAAACAAAGATTCTCACCACTGGGCCAACTGGCAGCTTCATGATGGATGAAGAAGAGATTGAGATTGTTAACAACTTCAGCTTCCTTGCTTCCACAATCCACACTCTTGACAGTAGTCAGGAAATCAGAAGATGAATTGCATTGGGAAAGTCACTGTCAGGGACCTGTCTAGAGTATTGAAGAGCAATGATGTAATCTGGAGACTAAGGTGTCCCTGATCCAGGCCATAGTCTCTGCAATTACTTGCTATGCATCTGAGAGCTAAACAATAACTAAGGATTATGGAAGAAGAATTGATGCCTTTGAGTTGTGGAACTGGACAAGAGTGTTAAACATACTATGGACTCCCAGGGGAAGAAATATGTCTGTCCTGGAGAGGGTGAAACCGGACTCCCAGGGGAAGAAATATGTCTGTCCTGGAGAGGGTGAAACCAGGCTGTTTCCTGGAGGCAAGCATTTAAAAAAAATAATAATTTATTGTATTATCATTTAGGAGACTAGAAATCCAAATTCACTGTGCTAGATCTAAGAGAAGGTTTTCTCTCTGAGTCTCTTGGTTCTCCAGGAAAGGAACCTAATACCAAATGGTATGCTTTGTTACCAGTTCTTCCATCTTGATAATACTGAGGTCCTCTTTTCTCTTGTGAGATAAAAAGTGATACAAACCAAACCTCAAAGAAACTGTCCTTATATCAAGATATGATTAAGGGTGTTTCGTCCCACCTTCAATCTTTTTTTAACCTGATTGGGTTATCACATCATGGGAGGGTCATTAAATAGGTGTGTTTTTGGAGGGATACAAGTTAATCCATGACACTATTTTGTTGCTACTTCTGACATAAGGCATTTCAGCTTAATGTACAGAATCAAAAAGTAGTGAATGGTTTCAGTGACTGGAATAATCGGGATGGGAGTGTCGGAGACAGTGCGATTGGCACAGGACAGAGCAGAGTTTAAGGCATAGGGTCACTATGAGTTGCAAGTGACTCGATGTCACATAACAAGAATAACAACAGTTCAAATCCACCAGAAACTGTAATGGAGAAAGATGGGCAATCTCTTCCTGCGGGATTTAAAGTCTTTGAAACCAATTTGTAGGGCCAGCTGTAGGTTGGTCCCAACTCAACAGTAAGAGAGTGACCCATGTGAGAAAATAGAAGGGATTTCCTAAAATGATAGGGTTTAGATTAGAAAGGATTTCCTACTCTTTGTGGCAGTAGATACCCATGCCTTTCACCCATGGATTCTTACTGTGGATTTGAACTAC